GGGAAAAAAAGCAGGTTACTGAGCAGACGGAGAACAAAACTGAACAGAATAGAGGTGGCAAAGGGTGATCTTTGATATTTAAACAAGAAGTGGATAAACTGTTGCAACTTTTTGTAAACTCATCTTTAAACCCAGCCTGTAACGGTGCTCACCTGGGGGAGCCAGGGAAGGACGGTTTTGTCACAGCAATGTTTGCTCTCTTCAGCACATTTAAATCAATAATACATCCCTTCGGCCTCACGTTTTGTGGGCAAGAAATACAATACACACCCCTCTGAGGACGCAGGGCCTGTTAGTCTTGTAATTCTGTATAGAAGCAGGGAAAGGAAGTATTTCCTACATTCTGAACAAGTTAAATATCACCACCTTTCCATTTCATTATTAAAACGAATTAACTGTGTGTTTTAGAAACTGGTACCACTGCACTAAAGCACTGGTACAAACATGTATCTACAAAAAGTACCTTTCTCCTGATGCCTGCCATGTCTCAGTACTTAGTGTATGCCATCTATGTCCACAGTAAACTAGAAACATCTTTTGCTCTGTCAGGTGGACATCTCAAAGCCCTTCACAGCTGCTCATGTTATTTCTGAATTGGAGTATCTAATGGAAGGAAAAACCATAGTGATGTAAGGAAACGAGTTTACTATAACTATACACTGCCATTTTTGAAGATTAACTGCTTTATGGAGAGCATTTCTGAATTTGATACATGTAGAATTAAACTGTCATTCAAACACCTGCTATTTGCCAACAATGCACTGCAGGAATTTTTTAATATTTTGAAGGTATGCAGAGGCTTCAATGAAGCAGCAGAACAACACATAAGGCAATCCCTGATGGCACACTGGTTCTGGGATAGATGATTAACCACGTAAATTTAAAAAAAAAAACCCAAATTTCCTCTTAGTATGTGTGTTTCAAAGTAACAGCTACTTTTCGTCTCGCTCCTTACACAAGCAGAATGCCAAAAGTCTCCTCCCTCATCTGTGAGGCCTGCCATGAACGTTTCACCCATTTTGTCTCAATTCATCTCATCCTTCCACTTACCAGTGATTTTTCACTTCATGGCCTGGATTTTATTTAACAATCTGGGGGGGGGGGGGGTTTTTTAGGTTTGGTAAAAAGCCTCTACTTTTTCTAGAAAATGTCAGGAGCCAGCAAAAATAATAAGTGACTAAAATTCACCAACCGAAAGGCCAGTAGTTCTACATATCACACAACTTACAGCATCTTGCAACGCTTCTTTGGCTGACATAAAAAAAAGATACACCACATCTCCTACTTCCTCTAAAACTCTGGGTAAATTTGTGTCTTACTCTATGACCTGAATTCTGGTTTTGCGTTATTTTGCCCAGGATTATTCCTGTAGTCAGTTCTGTAGTTACCAAAGGCCACCCCAAGCCTTACTGAATACAGGCACACATACAAAAGCCCACAGCATTTTCCAACCTGTCAGAATGCTCTCGGTACTCCAAGACCAGCAAAAAGGATCATGGAGGGCCAGCAGCCACCACAGGCAACTCCTTCTGGAAACTGGGAGGAAATTACCAAGATTTCCTGATATTTTTTTTTTATTTAAGCCTATTTAAGCCCATTCCTGATAAAATAGAACATTAACATTTTCCACTTAGTAAGTGGAAACACATGGAAATGCTGTGAGAAGTACATTATCCTACTTGTTTCCAAAAAGAACGCTTTTTTTAATACTTCTGACTTTCCTGTAACATCCTTTCTGTTACAAAAATACAAAGGACAGATGTAATTTCAGCAGCTGTGTCACAGCTGAAGAGTCTTCCCTAGGTCCCCTTTAATTCAGTCTGTCTCTCTAGTCTCAACAGGCATACGTTCCTGATGTGAATTTTAAAGGATTTTTATGATTTTTTTTTTGGTGTAGTTTTAATGCAAAATCTCCTTATTTCCTTTTAAGCATAAAAAATTTTTAAGCTTTGCTACACAGAGAAGAAAAAAAATCTAGATGATTACCTCACGTTGCAGTATGCAAGAAAGTTTTAGAACTACACCTTTAAGATGCAGTTACTGAACAACTAATTGCAGGGAATAAAGTAACACTTTATTTAACCTGGTGAACCTGAAGCCTAAAACTAGCATTTTAAGCAAACTGTTGCACAATTTAAACAACCCACAGTGAAAACATACAGACAAGGACAGTACGATCGATGGTTCATCTGATTTCTCACAGAAGTATTTTGCATGAGCTTCTCCAAACAACTTTAAGAAAAGCTCACTTTCTTTTGTGAATCAGCAGCTGGTTAAAACATAAGAAATACATCAAAAGCAAATTTAAAAACAACAGAAAAGGGCAGCAAGTAGGGCCCCAAAAGAAACAGTGATGCTCAATGTATTTTAGGTGATCTCAGAAGAAAGATAAACAGCAAGGTAGCAACATTTACTAGTGACAGACAAATTATTTATCTTAAACCTAGCAAAGCTGTCACAAACAGCTGCAGAATGGTTTCATGTTAATAAGCAGCCAGACAACAGAGTGGCAGATTTAACTCAGCGCTGACAGAAGTGAAGTACTAGTCCCAGGAGACACCCACCACTGACCAACGACTGCTATGTCAGTCACCATCACTCGGTCAGGGACCTGTGGCCAGCCAGTGCCTTCAGGCAAAAGTACCCAAATCTTTATTATGGGCACGCAAGGAAAATAAATACTTGTAGGGTTTATAAACATCAGCAACAGGTATTTAAGCAGCAACTGCATCACTTCAGGTGAATTTGGCTTTTTGGAAAGAGCACAAGCAGGCAATAACCCGTTTGTCCCTGTTCACTATGTCCAGACTGGCAAATTCTTTCCTCTGGGTTGGTTCAGACTAACTCAGGAGCTTTCTGGGACCAGTCAACATCTGCAGCATCCTCTGGATCCTCAGGAAGTCTCTCCCTCCCCACCAGTCCTGAAGCCAGGCTGTCCATCCGCCCCCTGCTCATCTGAGATGTATCCCACGCTCTCCTGTGCCACAAGTTTCGTCCCTGCTGAACTTTCACACACTCACACTCTTCTGCCTGCCCCATCACACGTGCTGGGAACTTCTTCCCCCAAGTACACCCAGATGATCCCAGGAAGGAGCCACCTCCCCTCCCTTCTGGAGGGCTCTGCCTGACACGAGTGCCGCAGCCAGCACAAAGCAAGCGAGCAGCCCTCCTCTGTGATGCACTGCAGCACTTCTGCAGAACCATGACATTTTAACATACAAATACATCAGATCCTGTTAGTTACAGCCATTTGGAAATGATCTTGGAGCCACTGTTCAAGGACCTCAGCACAGAGCAGCAGCCAAAGAGGTAAAAGTCACGTCAAAAGCCATTACAAATAAGAGTAAGCAAGTAAACAGAAGGCATGACATCATCTGACTATCACGTGTGTGCATCTCGAGTGCTGGTCTGGTTTGCTTCTCTCCAAAGAGACAGCAGAGCTCAAACAAGTACAGCGGGTCTGATTAGCTTCTCTTAAAAGAGACTGAGTGGAACAAGAAACAGCACAGCTTCTACTGGAAGACGCATTAAATTGGACTTAATACATGTCTACAGCTTAGAAAAAACAACAGATAGAGAGAAAGGCGTGAACAGTTAAGGAGGTGAAGAGACAGCTATTTACAGCTTCCTATAAACCCGAGCACGGGGACAGCTCACGGTTACCAAGCAGGCAGGATGAAGCACTAATCACGTTCGGCACGGGACAAGAGACCATGTGGAACTTCCTGCCATTGATGGTTATGGAGTCCAGAACCCCAACTGAGCTCACACTCAGCTGCTTACGCCAGGTCATGACAAACAGGTTTATAAAGGACCCTCAAACGTTTTACAGCCACTGCTGATCCAGAAAAATCACTAAGGTGGGGGACTGTCAGAAAGCAGGAGTGCCTACCCCCGTTTACCCTGTTCTAAACTTCCCCCAAGTACTGCGGGTATCAGAGGGTGCCGAGAGGGACCTCAAGGGGGGCTGTAGTTTACCGGAGGAAGCTACCTTTTCATTTCCAACTACTCTTTTTTATTTCTCTGTATCTCACCAGCGTAGATGACTACGAATGTGTGGGTACCATCCACATGCTCTAGTTCCTAGATGGCTTTCAGAATCATCTTCACCAGTACCAAGCCACCAGGTCTGACACGCAACATCCCTATGAGCCACCCCATCAGAGGAGCATCTCTACTTACAGCTTACCTAAAATCTGCACGGTTTTGCAACAAAACTCAGGGTCTCCTCCTTCTTCTAGGAGCCTTAAGAACGCCTTTAATTCACAACCTATTCCTCCTGGGAAACCTTGCTTTACGTGAAATCTCCTGCCTTAGTAGCATTAAGAAAGCTTTTCCTAACGGAACTACCGACAGGAAGATGACCGAGTGGGGCAGCACCACCGCCGGCACCGGGGAGGATCGCAGAGCCCGTCCACCCCCAAACAATCCTAAAGCAGCAAACCCCCACCAGAATTATGTGCTGTAGGGGAGGGTAGTTCCTCTTGCTTGCTTTCAACTGCCCGCTTGATAACTTTGTTGGATGCTTCCAATCTCTCACTTTGCACAAACCAGCAGGTAATCACTGCCCATTCGCTTTCACTGCCCCAAGGACATACAGTACTGCATGTCATTTCCACCGTGGTACTTCTTGGAAGAGCCACCAGAAAGAAAAATAAGAAGTTCCATCTTCTTCCCATCACTTGTGTACCTTAAATCAGAGCTCAAGTTTTGAGAAGCACTTACCAGCTAAACGTGGTTTTAGGGAGTAAGCTGAGCAATGTACCGTGATAGACTGCAGACTCCCCAAGGCAGAGGGCCTGAGCTCCTGGGGTGCACGTACCCAGCTCCGAATCACATCAGGGGACCAGCCCAGCAACACTACAGCTCCCTCTCTCAGGTGACTCCAGATATTAAATACCAAGAACAATCTCACTAGCAACCACCAGAACACCGACTACCAGCATTATAAAGCATGCTGTCATTACTGAACTTAAAAAAGGAAAGATAGATGCGCATACCTTCAGTAGAAGTTATTTCAAATGTGAAATCTTCTCCACGGACAGAGAAACATTTGGGTTACAGTTCCTGGAATATACCCAGCTTCAGAAAAATATTTTCATCCAGTGTGAATTTTTTCTCAAGCTTCCTAGCCTGGAAAATATTTTTAAAAGTTACTATTAACCAGAAGTAACTGAGGGCCAAAGATATTTTTTTTTTCCTAAACAAACTTCCACTTTCAGCCCAAAGGAAAATTTCAGCAAGACTGCAGGTGAGTGACACCCTTCACAAAGCCATCACCACCACCCTGTCATCGACCTCCTCCTCCCAGCTACCCCCCATAGCACCGGGCAAGCGTGTCCCTTCACAGGGAGCTGCGACAGCGCAGGGGTTAATAGCCCTCCTCCGACTCAGCTGCAAGACTTGTACCTCATTCAAGAACACATATTTGTTTTCTTGACATCACTTCAAAAGAAAGTTATAGGTTGTCAGGGAAACCCAAGGGTCATTTTCACTTGTTCCAAGAATAATTGCAGCAACAATACACGTATTTCTGTCTGGGGCCCCCATCACCTTAAGGAAGCTGCAGGGAGTCCAGAGGAGAGCTGGCAGTTTCAGAAGGTGATTCACAGAAGGGAAACTGGCAAGCTTGGCTTAGCCTCCTCCACAACTATAACAGCTGGGTTTTAACCAAACCTCTCTCAGAATCCAGGTATTCCCTTCATACTGTGGGGTTACGACCAACAAAAAGTAACAGCAGCCGGTCCCTACACTGAAAGATAATGTTCCCACACTACTTCAATTAAAAGAGTATACTCACATTATAATAATTTTATTATACATATTATTATTATTAATACTCCACATCCCTGAACACCCTTGCAAACCTCAAAGTCAGGATGCAGAGAAGGCATGACAGCGTAACACAGCCAGCACCAACAGAGAGAACAGTGTATTTTCTCATCTTATCATCAGTAATTACTTAATTGGAGGTACAATATTCACCCAAACCTGAAGTCATCAATTCAAACAGACAGTGTTCAGAGTTTTATTGTGCATATTTAAGGTCTGTAAATGTGACGCTTTCTTTTTTCCCAGCATTTGTCCTACAAAGTCTTTTAAACATTATAGAGATAAACTGAACATAACACAGTGCAGCATAGATTTAAAATCATAACCTGAAGCCCAACAATTGAAGTGCTGCTCTGAAAACTGAATTGTTTTCCAAAGAAATGACCGTACCCCTCAGATGTATTCAGAGTACAGCAGGAATACTCCTACAAAGCTTGAGAAAAAGCTCTGCTTTTCGATTCTACATATCCCCTTAAAAGTCAAACTCCATCTTGGTAATTAATTTGTAGTTGTGGATATTTGCTGTATTTGCTTAAAAGCAAAGGGTGAGAAGAGCTCTGAATAATGACTTTAAGTTTGGTAGAGTGTAACTATTACTTAGAAGCTACTTTATTACAGAAACTCAAAACATCTGTGCCATTCTGACACTTCTGTTTGCTGTGCTTGGGATAAAGATAAACAACGCTCTGCTCCACGGCTCCACAAGATCCGTAGTATAACTTGAGCTCAAATTCTGTTAAGCTTGTGCTTAAATCCCAGCACAAGGAGCAGTCCTGGGGGATGTACTGAGCCTGAAAGCCAGGCACACGGTTACAAGCTGACATAACCTAGGAGAAGGTGGTGAGCAGAACAGCAAACCGACCCTGTGTAGAGTATCCTGCGCTCCCTCAACGCTTTCTTTAACACCGAATCCACCCAGAGAGACCCAGCGAGAGCAGGAACCCGCCCTGTTCCTGCCAGTCACAACACCGTATCTTAGGGACACGACCAAGTCATACCTCAGCAAAAGGGCCTTCCTGGGTTCCGGAAGGATGGAAGGCAGCCTGCATGACATTGTCCTTCTAACTTGAAACATTTCGAGTATGAATTTAATCTCTAACATTTCGAGTGACTGACATCAGCCTCACAGATCTGCCACCTTTAGTTTTGTGCTATAATCACCTCAATTTTTCTTCAATTATTTTTTAATTGAAATAGTTTATATATTTCCGGGTAAGAGTGGCAGGACAACAGGATCTGCTGCATTTCAACACAGTCAGCAGATTTGGATAACGTGGTTCACTACTTTCTTACATTCTGAACACACACTGCCGAGATTTCAGCCTTAGTCTCTTCTGACACATGCTTGAATTTATCTGACAACTGACTGAAACAAAGCACAGCAGTGAAAGGAAATGAGTTTGGATTTTTTTACCTTCTCTCCTAGTGATTTTAAAGTTTTTGCTAAACTCGTTGCATGTTAACCAGCTACATACACAAACACACTCAGAACTTTAGCACCGTACATTCATACAACAGTTCAGTTTTGAAGTCAAACCATATAGACAGGTTTCTGCGTTGTTGAAAAAGTGTCTCATTTCTAACAGGAGAAATCATCCACCTCAAAAGAACAACTAGTACCTGCAGTGATTTCCTGAAATACGTAGCGTAGAAAGAATAAACCCAGTAAAACAAACATACTCCCTGCACTCACAGATTTTAGAGGAAATTTAATCTAACCTGGGCTATGAAGTTTAAAACGCACTCTGGGCAGAGCATGCCACGATTCCCCACAGGGCAGACACAGCAGCAGCCAGGTGAATGGACAGCCATTAGCAAATTCTTTCTAAAAGGCTCCTGTGTGGAGACAGCAGCATTCCCAGGTTCCACAATGAGATAATTAGGTGTGTGTGGCTTCAGAAAAGCAGACCCCCCACAAGTGGTACTGGTGTCACAGGAGCTCTCAGATTTGGGGAAACACCCAAACACGGGGTAGTGCCACTGTAATCCAACAGTGATGGATTGATAGAACTTTTCCACTGGGGAGATGGAAAGTTGCGCCAGGGCAGGGTCAGGCTGGCTCTGAGGAAGGATTTCTGTGCAGAAGGGGCTGTTGGGCGTTGGAATGGGCTGCCCAGGGCAGGGGGGAGTCCCCGGGATCCCTGGAGGGGTTGAAGAGTCGGGCTGAGCCAGCGCTGAGGGATCTGGGGGAGTTGGGAACGGTCAAGGTGAGGGTCATGGTGGGGCTGGAGGAGCTGCAAGGGCTTTTCCAACCCAGAGAATTCTGTGAAATACAACTTTAAAGTAGGTTAAATTTGAGCTGGCTACCGTCCTCATTTCAACAGCACATCTCTGATTCGGTGGCAGTCAAACGTTTGTAGGTGCTGCTGTGCTGGACCTGCTCCTATTCTTCAGAGCACCAGCCCTCCCAGCCCCGATAAGCTCGCTGTGACAGCCCTCCCTGGTCGGCAACGTGCCTCAAAACAAGCGATAGGAAACCGATTCTTGTGAATGACAATCAACAGAATTCACTGCTGTGCCATAAAAGCTAAGAGTTCTGTAAAATTCTACAGACCTCTGGATTAAATGGACAAGGAAGCTTTGGAGAGCTCAAAGGTGCAGATGGAAACAGAAGAAACCCAAATCCTCACGATGTACAGAACAAGCCAGCAGCTCAGCGGCTGCCTGTGGGGAGAGGGCTCAGGAGAAACTGTTTCGTTCTTTTAACGCAGCATCGCATTTGCACACTCCCACCTCCCTGACAAACTCAGCATTTCAGGCCACCCTGTGGTGCCACTGCTCTGTCAACATTACCTGTCTTGTAACCACACATCCCTGAAAAAGCAGAATACTGTTACGCAAGCAACTGGTGAAGTTGTTACACAAAGAATGAGAAGCTGATAGATCTACTGTTCAGCATTACTTAATGATTTCCAGCTTCAAAGTAGTCACACGCCAGCCAAACCTTTCAAACAGCCCTTAGAACCAACAAAGCAGAAAAAAATTGAACCACTTTCACTTTATGAAAGAAGGTTGGCAAAACGCCCACATAACTTGCCCAAAGTTTAGCGTGAGCAAAATCTAAAGGAATCCGAAAGACTGCCGATTTACAGCTCCCTTCATCAGACAGCATTTGTTTCCAAATATCCAAAATAACTAAAAATAGCTACATTTCTCTATGTGAAAGACATGCTTCCAAGGAGATTAACAAATTAAAGTATCAATCAGGAGTGAAAGTCCAGTTTGTACAGAGTTTAGTTCAAGTCACTGTGAAACTAAAGTGTGTTGCAGCTTTTCCACATTCCATCTTCAAACACCCTGGGAGCAGAGTCTATCTCCCCTACCCCTGCTTCTCCTTGCAGCCCTTAAGGCAGCAGAGCTTTGAGATATATTCCACAGCCTTTTTATGGAATCCACTCAGATAACTAAAAAAAGCTCATTAACAAGCAGCCTAAAATCCACTATATAAACCTCTACAATGCCTCTGAAAGAGCATTTTCACTTCAGCAAGTCATGAAAAAAATGTTAAAAATATCCAGCTTCTCATCTACCTCCCGAGCCCTCTTCAGGAAATTTCCACCTGAAAAAAAGACCTGCTGAAGGATCTGCACAAGCTATTTGATGCGGCCTCCTATTACTTTGGGTGGCATATGCCAAGATAACACATGTATTAATGGAAAACCAGGGTCAGGATAGGCACTGCACGGCCCCAGCTCAGCCCCTGTGCTGGGAGCTGGTCTGGGCCGCTCTAGCCCAGCACCTCCAGCCGTGCCCGGCTCCCCCAGCTCCCCAGGGCTGCAGGAGCAAGCAGGAACAGCCCTGGCCTGGGGCTCAGGCTCCCCGACATCTCTGCTGGAGAAGGGCAGCTCAGAGCCAGCCCCGTGAGCTGCAGAAGTCAGCCTGGATCCCACCGAGCCAGCAGCACAGGCGCCTCGAGGGCTTGGATGCTCCTTGCAGTGCTCCTCTGCTCAAAAGCAGCAAGACATCAAGAAGAAAGCATAGGGAAGGCGAGCAGACAGCTCTCCTTGGGCTCCTCCTGCTCGGGGGAAGGAGGGAGAAGCGATCAAACCACGCCGAGGCCCCCCAAGGCCACCACTGTTCCCATGGACTACTGCTAATGGAGGATTGGTTAGCCAGAAAATACTGAGGAGAGGTAAAAATAATCAAAAGGTTTATTTAACTCTTCAAGAGACAATGTGAAAGCAAAAGAGCATCTCTGGCTAGCTATTCTGGTGGCTTGGGCACAGCAAGAGAGAAACAAGGCTCGCCTTCCCCAGATGTACCAGCGGCACCGCACAGTACCCAGGAGCAGGATGGAAGTG